CTTGTGGCAAAAGGATTTACTCAGCAACCGGGAATTGATTATCACTCTACATTCAGTCCCGTTGTCAAGCCAGCCACAATTCGCTTAATTCTTACTCTTGCAGCTTAATTTCAGTGGCCTCTACATCAATTAGATGTAAATAACGCCTTTTTACAAGGTAAATTAGAGGATGAGGTATATATGAGACAGCCAAAGGGGTTTATTCATCCAGATTTTCCAAATTATGTATGTAAACTCAAGAAAGCAATATATGGTTTGCGACAGGCTCCAAGGGCATGGTACATGGCTCTTAAAAATTTTCTGCTATCATATGGGTTTCACGAATCAAAATCAGATAGCTCATTGTTTCTTCTTCATAAATCTATTGCTATGCTCTATGTTTTGGTTTATGTTGACGATATAATCATTACTGGAAATAGTAATTCAGCGCTTACTTATGTGATTAATGCTCTGTCGAATCATTTTTCACTAAAAGGTCTTGGTCAGCTTCATTACTTTTTAGGAGTTGAGGTGCTACATCAACCAGAGGGAATTTACTTATCTCAGTCCAAGTATATTTTTTATATTCTCCAAAAATACAATATGCAAGACTGCCATGGTATATAAACTCCAATGAGTATCACACCATTACTTACACTAAATGATGGTTCAAGCAAAATCGATGCACAACAATATCGTGAGGCAGTTGGAAAACTTCAGTATTTATCCTTTACTCGCCTTGATATAAGTTTTGTGGTTAATAAATTGTCTCAGTTTATGCATACACCCTCGATTACTCATTGGCAGGCAGTAAAACGGTTGTTTAGATATCTAAAGTATACAATTTACCATGGTTTATTTCTTCGGCGCACTCCAGCTTCTCAATTATATGTCTATACAGATGCAGATTGGGCTGGAGATCCCACAGATTGTACCTCAACCGATGCAGATTGGGCTGGAGATCCCACAGATTGTACCTCAACCTCTGGTTATATTACATTTCTTGGTTCCTCTCCTATTAGCTGGTCTTCCAAGAAACAACGCACTGTGGCAAGATCTTCAACTGAAGCTGAATATCGAGCATAGCAAGTGCAGTGGCAGAAACAAATTGGTTACAAAATTTGCTTAAAGAATTACAAATTACTTCTTTCAAAGTGCCGATCCTATACTGTGATAATGTAGGAGCCACTTATCTTTGTCAAAATCCTGTGTTTCATAGCAGAATGAAACACATAGCTATTGATTTTCACTTTGTAAGGGAACAAGTTCACAATAAAAAGCTGATTGTTCACCACATTCATTCCGCCGATCAGTTAGCGGATTCTCTTACAAAAGCATAGACACGTCAACTGTTCAGTCATCATCGATCCAAGTTAGGTGTTGTTGAACTACCACCTAACTTGCGGGGGCGTATTAGTGAAACTACAACCGTTACTTAGTATTCTTGAAACTAACATAATCAAGGCCACCAATTTCTCTATATCAGCACAATCACAGAAAATTCAAATTAATTGTAAATATGTAATTTAGTTCCTATCTTTATTTTGCCTCTGTTTTGTGTATATAAACTTGTACTGAGTATCATTAAACATACGACAGATTTTACATCCGTCATTAAACCTTTAGTCTCTATGGCTTTTTCGTGCTCCACCGGCATCAAGGACTGCAATGTTGCAGAGGTCTTAACAATTTTGAAAGCTCTCTATTTCTGGTTTCTAGGAGGTCAGTGTAATTCTTCTATAATCATTGAGTCAAACTCTTCCAAGCTATTTCTTGGATTTCCCGTGCATCTGCTGCTCCTTGGACTCTATGGGATGAGATTCATGATATTTGAGCATTATCTTCTTCTTTAAGGTGGCGTTCTCACACATTTCCCATTCTACAAATTCTTTTGCTGATTGTCTGGCAAAACAAGGTGTCTCCCACGCAACAAATTTCTTCGCAAACTTATCTCTGGCAGTTACAAACTACAATGTGTTTTGATTTGCGATGCGCTGCTTATCTATGCTGCTGTTGCAACTTATTTTTGATGTTCTGCATGTGTTTAGTTTCTCAACTATTTGGTGATGTTGTGTTCAAAATTGGTCCACTACTTAGTTACTTGTTTTGCTTTATTAGTGTTTGCTGGGAGTATGTATTTGGGCTGATGTATGGATGCTTTTTCTAAGAAGTTTTGTCCTATTGTCATGTAACATTAAATACTGCTGGTTTTCATCACCATGAATCACACTAAGTGCCTTTGCCCTAGCTCTTTAAGCCTTCATTCTCCCTATAGTATACCCATGCTCCTTTTGAACTCTTACTAATAAAATGACTCAATTCCCAACTAGGGTTTGTTGTTTTCTTGTAATAGTTTCTTTGTTTTTTTTTTTTTTTTTTTTTATATCTCTCTATGTGACCTACAATAAAATGACTATCCACACTAGGGTTTGTTGTTTTCCTGTAATATTTCTTTGTTTTTTTTTTTTTTTTTGTTTTTTTTTTTTTTTTTTTTTTTTGTTATTATTACATTGCCTCAATATTTGAACTTCTTTTGTTTCTTCCTTGCGATGATTTGTTACTAAATAAAGGTATGGCGTATTTAATTTATTTGGTTGAAAAATTTTGATTTTGATACGTCGATGTGGATTTTCGACAATATAGTTTAATAGAGCTGTTTGTTCCTCCACTGATGCTATTAACATATAGTGGCAGAAACTTATCTATGTATATCATATATGTTGCAAGTTTTTAAAAAAGCATTCTAGGTATAAAATGTTCAAAAAATTATTTTTTTTATTGTCGAAATTAGTCAAAAGACTAATTGTTACTATGAAGGTTTTTATATTTTATCAATATCATATTCGAGCAAAAAAATTTAGCATGATGTTTTTTTAATTTTAGTTTTATTATTCAAAGAATAGAAAATATTATTTTGGTTCATAAAAGATCGACAACTCTATTGGCTTTGATAAGTAAAGTCCTATATCCAGTATATATAAATATTGTTAATACTTAATATTATTATTAATGCATTATGTTTCTAAAAAAAAAAAATTATAAGATCAAAATTATAATAAATAGTTAAACACTTTATAAAACCTATTTAAATTTGAAAAATAATTATTATATAATTTAAATTACTTTTAATTACTAAATGTTAAATGATGGTTTCGCTCATACATTATATTTAGAGAGAAAAAATTTAATACAAAGAAGATATGAAATTTATCATTATTTTGCTGGCTAGTTCTAGTTTAGTTGGTCTTGTCAATAATATGAGGAGTTAAAAGTCTTAATCGAGTTGAAGTCCTCTCGATCACATGAGTTTTTACAAATTTGATGAATTAAGAGGAGTGCTACTCCTGTTGTATAGTCTTTCATATTTTTTCAGCCAATTAAAATTTCTAATGAATACAAAAAAAATGTCACTATTTTTTCAGAGTATTTCACCTTTACTAATATTCTAATTACTATTTAACTCAAAAACTATATTCCAACTACCAACTAGATATAGTTTGGCGTTCTCACTTTGTAGGAAGTGAGTGGTTTCATGTTCAAAACTTTTCAATCACAAAAGTTTTCACCAATTTAATGAGTAAAAATGATGATTACTCTTTTATGTAGACTATAATATTCTTTCAGTTCATTGAACTTTCTACTGAAATTAAAAAAAAAAAAACTATATTCAAACTCACATGAAATATTGACTAGTATCTTAAGTCCATAAATTGAGAATTAGACATGACCACAGTTTTAAAATCGTCAATTTCAGTTATAAAGAAGATGAAATTGAAACCGAACCGTTTTAATTAGTTTCTAAGATGATTTTAAAACCGTTGATTTCAGTTTTGTTTCGGTTTTGAATTGAAATTAAATAATTTTATTTCAAACATTTTGAAGTTTCTTTTAGATTTGTAGTTTGAATAAATAATAATAATAATAATAATAATAATAATATATTACTAGTAAAAAACACTAAAGCATTTCATAAAAAATTTTAAAATTTAATTTAAAAAATTATAATGAAATAAAAAAACTTTGAAAGTTTTTTTAGGAATACATTTTTCACGGTTTCAAACTAAAATTGTTGGTTTCGTTTCTAAAAGTAAAGAACCAGAATCAAATCTTAAGTATACAATTTAAATTATAATTTTAAAAACCAAAAACCATTAAATATATGATTTAGAGTCAATTTTGATCCATTCAATTTTGATTTAATTCTGATTTAAAATCGAACTATGATTATGCGTAGAGGATAGGAGAAAAAATGAGAGAAAAATAATATAATTTATGTTAGTTCAGTCTACATGTAAATTTTTAGTTGGCCACATCTTTCATTAAAATTTATATGATTCTTTATACTTTTTATATTATATAACATGAACAATGTTGGGTATCCACATCATCTACTTTTTATTCTCCATACATATTGTCATAAGTGGTGTCGTAATCACACAGATTCGTGATTTTCAAATTTAATTTTATACATTTCCAAAATTTTATTGACGTATATAAGTGGAATAATTTGTAAGTGTGGTTTTTGTAAAGTTACTAATTTACCAACATATAAAATATCAATACATAACTTTGTCAATCTATTTTTCACGGAAAAAAACTTAAATATTTTTAAAATTACGAATTATGGCAATATTTCATTAAAAGTTTTTGATTTTAAACTTTTATATATAAAATATTTGATCTAATATAGAACTAAAAATTTGAATAATAATTTTCATATTTTTATCAATTTTTAAATAAATTAAAACATTCAATGGAAAGATTTTACAAATTAAAATATCTAATAAAGACATAAAAATAAAATTGGATGTACCGTAAAATTTCTTTTAAAAAATTCAGAAATAATTCGCATATATAAAAATATTTTATAGACTTCAGTAACTAGAATCATATTCATGCAAATAGATTAAACTTATCATTATTTTTTAGTAATTACGAGAATAGTTATATCAATATTTTCATTCCAAATTAAAGTAGAAATGTACAGATTCTACATTCAAATTACGTACATACAAATTACATTAAACTACAACTATTTGTCTTTGAGCTTCAATTCTAATCTCTTCCTTCATTTTCCTTATAAACTCCTCAATCCTCTTGTTCAGCTCCTCAGTACTCGCCAAATCCTCACAATTTCCTTCATCTCCTTCTCTATAATCTTGTTCATCCTGCTTTAATAAGAACTGGGCATCATTTTGTTCTTCCTTAACTTCATCTTTTGCATTCAGCTCTTCATTTTTTCCCTTCTCTCTCCTCAAACTCTCTCCTTTTAATTCTTCTGGTTTGTCACCTTCTTCCTCTTCTTCTTCTCTTTTTGGCAAAGCAATATCCTGTGTTGAAATAATATCAGAATTCATTGGTTTCGCTTCTGATTGGTGGGCTTGGATTAGATCAGACCCAGAAAATGGAAGATTGCAAGAAACTGAAGAACTCTTAGCAAGAAAAGCTAAGATTCCATTGCAAATAAGAAACATATACTTTCTTTCAAGGGTTTTTGCTAAGAATGAAAATAAACATGTATTGAAGTAAAGATAGAAGGAATCAGGAAGCAAAGAAAAGCCTGAAGAGAAACAAAGAAATAAAGAAAAAAAAGAGACTGTAACAAGCAACTGAAAAATTCTTTTCAAGAAATGGTACCGATCAGTTCGATCCATTTGCTTAAAGGGTATGTGTCCTTAAAACGGATAGTGTGTCTTTTGTTTGCTGTGAGTGAGACCGATGCTTGGAGTATTATTGAATGCGCTTGAAGGGCATCTCTCTTCACTTTATACTAGTCCTACAAGGATAGGGTTGGTTCTGTGTTTTATTAGTAAATTATTGAAATAGCCTTGATGATACCAGTGGAGGGCATGACGTGGAAGTTTCTAAAGGAGCGATACGGGCAGTAAACCCTTTTGCCAGAAAAATCTTTCCATGAAGTTTCTAGCAGCTGTCCTGTCCCTGAAACACAGCGCCAATAAGGCATTAATAATTGTGGTCCATGCATTTCAATCATTCCACCTACTACATAAATATTTAACCTTTTTTTAAAAAAATAAAATTCATGTGAATTTGCTAATAAATTATTCATTTCTCTTTTCCCACGAGTAGACAATAAATTTTAGTAAAATGAATTACTACATTTAATAAATTAGTAAACAATTAAGTTCTTAACTAAAATTCTTAAAACTTGTTTTTGTTAAATAAACTTTAATATAGTATAAATTTTATTATTCATAGAATTTGTTTAATAAGAATACACAATAAGTTGAAGCGTAATTTGATCCATAGCTATTGATTACATCGTTGCGGCAATTCGATTCTCACTATAATAGTAGATCTGTGTTTCTTCACTCTGCCTTTTGTCCGTAAGTTCTCTCTTAATGGTCAGAAAATTATCAACAGTAACGGGAGTTTTCTTTTTACGTTCTTTTAAACAACCTATCACCACTATGTATTTAAAGTAGCCGTCACACTCTCTTAACCTATGCTGTTGATTTCCTTGATCTTTTATAAGACAGAGGAAAGGTATTAAAACCCTAACTGGTCCTCATCCCATACCCTAAACTGTCTCATCCCATTAAGCCCCAATAAACCACCCATCTGCCTAATTTAGACCAGCTTTAAATAACATAGGCCACATTAGATTAAAATTATCAAAATAATCTAACAATCTCTCACTTGGCCCATGTGCATTTCTTGAATCTATCATGTTAACCTTAATTAGAATTAAAGTGATCGAATTATGGCGGTCACAACTCATCAATCGACATGATTTCTTCCATACATCACAGACCATCTCAATTCGTAAGAACTTTAATCTAGAAATAATTCAACAATACATTGTTGCGATCAACATTATTGTTATCTCACTCAAACCATTACTGTATATATCTATAATGTGGATAATACATAAATAAACAAAAACACACCTTTAATTGAATTCCCAATTGTCATAGTAATATGAGCCAAACAACCATATGTATATATATATATATAAGTTTGAACATCATGCTAACAAGAACTTATCTGTAATTCCCATCCTATCAACATGGCCATTGAAGATTCTGGCCGGTAAGCTTTTAGTTAGTGGATTTGCTATCATCAAATAGTACTGATATGCTCAATTGACACTTTGTGTTTTTGCACTTCTTCTTTCATAGATAGGTACTTTAAATCCATGTGCTTTACACCCTTAGAATACTATCGTTCTTAGAGAAGAAAACAGCTGCGGAATTATCACAGTAAATTCTCAACTGTCTAGCTATATTGTTGACAATGCCTAGACCTGAGACAAAGTTCCGCAACCACTATTTGTGAACAGTGGCCTCAAAGCACGCCACAAATTCAGCCTCCATTGTGAAAGTAGCAATGATAGACTGCTTTCCACTTTTCCATGAAATTGCTCGTTCCGCTAGAAGAAACAAGTAGCCAAATGTAGACAAAACAAGTAAGCCAAATGTAGACTTTCTCGAATCCTACAGACAACGTCATAGTCCTGAAATCCGATATCCCACCCACTTCTAAGATGGCTTGGACCTTGTCCTAAAGGTGAGTATATGATCCTTAGTGCCTGTAACATACCTAAGTACTTTTCTTTGCACTTCAATGGTACATCCAAATGATTAACTTTGAAATATCGCCACTAACATTCCCTATGGCGAAAACTAAAATCACAGTCGAGTGCATGTTGAACATACATTAAGCTCCCACATTGACGCACAGGGAAAAAGAAAGCTCCATCTCTTATGTTCCAAATCATTCTTAAAGGAAATTGCATTTCTAAAATCCTATCTCAATTTCTGATGAACTATTCCTGCAGAGAATTTTTCCATTCTGAAAATCTCTCTAATACCCTTATCAAAGTAAGGCTCTTTAGGACCAAATCCTAACAGTCTAGTTTGACTATCAATGGAAAATTTTCTATTCCTATCATAATAGGATGCCCACCCATAATCTTTCAATTTCAAGAGTTCTTAAAGAAGAAAAGCCCTTCTTATCAGTAACAACCCAACATCATCAAGCAAAAGAATGTCCATCAACAAACAAGACTAACAGATGAACTTGCCCAATGCCCCTCATATAAATACCACGATCAGCATGGTTTTCTATATAAATCCCATATTGAATGTGAATGGTATTATTGAACTTTAAGACACCATGACGGGAAACTGCTTAGTCTCATCTGTTTGAACTATCTTTAACTTTAACACACCAAAATTTTTCCTTCCCGTGACCACAAAATCCCTTTGGTTGGTCCATATAGTACTTCCTCCTCTGAAGTCACCAATTAAGAAAGCGTCCTTTACACCATTTGGTGAAAGCTCTTAGACATAAGATCCACCAAGCCAAAATAATTCTTAAAAGAGTCCTTTTAGAAAACTGGAGAAAAGGTCTTCCTTATAAATCAAGGCCATTCTTCTAAATGTTAAAACCTTTTTAGCAACAAGTTCCTGACTTTAATATAATTTCAAATGTCCTAGAGTTACATGGTCTTGAAGACGCCCATTTACAATCAAACTTGTTTTGAACCCTTACAACTCAACTAAATCCCAAACTTGATTATCACCATGATTGCATCTCTTCTTCATGACGATTAAACCCAATTAAACCACTTTTCAGAATTATCACATTCCATGGCTTTCTAGAAAGAGACTGGATCCTTATCAATGCTCAATTCACATTCATGCTCAAGTGAATAAACTACATAATCATTAGAAATAGCTGGCCTTCTTTGCCTTTGTGACCTCCGTAATACTATTTCTTGTGGAACCACTTGCTCATTCGTGACTTGTTCATTGTTAACTAGTTCATCATTTATATGGTCATTTTGTGGGTTTGGAATGTTGTTTTGTTGTTCAATCATGTTGTTAAACCATGATACAACAAGAGGCACAACAACCGAAGAAGAGACATTAGGAGAATCCAGTTGAGTTGGATTTCTAATCTGAATCTCTTATACATCCACTTTACGTGATTCAACACTCCCACTGAATTGGCCATTTTCAATAAACCGAGCATTACCAAACTTAATAATTCTTGTACTATAATTAGGACAATAAAATCGTTACCCTTTTGATTTTTTAGGATATCCTATCTATGAAAAAATTCCACTAACCGTTCTAGCTTCAAAGCTTCTTTAGTGAAGATTATATATCCTAACTTCTACTGGGCAACTACAAACATGAAGATGCCTTAAACTAAGTTTCCTTCCTGTCCACAGTTCATAAAGGGTCTTAGGAACTGCCTTACTAGGAATCATATTAAGTAAATATGCAACAGTCTTTAATGCATGCATCCATAATGATAAAGGTACAGTATTGTTACTCAACATACTCCTAACCATTTCCATAAGAGTATGATTTCGCCTTTCAGCTACACCATTCTGTTGAGGTGTACCCGGCATTGTGTATTGCACACAAATGCCACGACTTTCAAGGAACTTTGTTCAAGACTTTGCATAGATGGAAATTGGGACATTGGTCCATTTTTCATTAAATTTACCATAAATATTCCACCACCTCTATTTTTAAGATCTCACAACTTTAACTTTTCCTATTAACTGCCTCCGCCCACCTCGTTAATGAATATCCAAGGTATCCAATTCGATTGAGAACTTTTCATGCACAAAATAAACATAACCAAATAAACATAACCATACCGTGAGAAATCATCGATAAAAGTGATAAAATATTTTTCTCCACCCCAAGAGGGAACATCAAAAGGACCACAAATATCTGTGGGTATAAGATCAAGCAAATCACTGCTTCTTGTGGCTAGATTCTTTAATGTGTGCTTAGTTTGCTTACCTTTAATGCAATCTATACATACGTTCTAGTCAGTAAAATCCAATTGTGGTAAGATTTCACTTTTCACTAACCTCAAGATCCTTTCTTTGGATATATGACCTAGCCTTTGATGCCATAAGAAAGCAGAACATTCATTATATGCACTACGTTTATTACCTATGTTATAATCAACATTAAACAGGGATTCAACAAATTCAACATCAAGATTAAAACGATACAAACTATCAATCAAAGTTCCAGAACCATAATAGTACTTATGTCCAGAACCATAATAGTACTTATGTTTGTGCAATGAAAAAACACCATTAAAAATCTTGAAATTAAAATCAATATTGTCCAACCTCCTTACAGAAACCAAATTTCTGGCACATTCAGGAACATAGAGACACTTTTTGAGATCCAGATAACAACTAGTATTGAGGATCAATTTATAAGTCCCAATTTCCTCTATTCGTGCCTTCATTCTATTTCCCATATACAGGAACCTTTCAGTTTCGTTTATGGGTGGGATCGAAAGGAATTCCTGTATAACATGAGACACATGAGTAGTTGCACCAGAATCTAACCACCAGGTATTATTAGGCACTTCAATAATATTTGATTCAAAACATACTGAAACATAAGGTACACCTTTTTTTTCGAACCAAATCTTCCTTTTCGGACAATCCTTCTTAAAATGATCATTC